GGAGGAGCCTGCATCCCCCAGAGACACTGGCCTACCTTCTGACAAGGCCTGACTAAGAAACTACTCTGTTAGCAAAATGTGGCAGAAGACCGGGTGGAGTGTACCATTTAGGCAGGCTGGCCGGCCAGATCCAAAGTAAAAACAGAAAAACACAGCAACATTCAGGGCTGATCACACAGCGGAGACAGGTAGGTGAAAGCCGAGACGTCACCAAGTGTCACCCAGTGGGACAAAATCTTTCTACGTGGAATTGTACCTTCACTGGGTGCATGATGACTAACCAGGGGGACGCCTTCCACACCACACCCCCTCAAGTCAGATACATACATGTAAAGTGTGCTTACCAGAAACGGTTCTTTGCCTGGCCCTGCAGGGCAGGAAAGTGAAACTGAACAGCCCAATGAGGGTGGGGAAGGGAGAAGAGGGTGGAGGAGGCAGTTAAACTCAACAGGTAGCAAAGAGCGCCCACCAGAGATGGTGGGCACATACCCAAACCCAGCCTTTGGCTCAAAAAATGTAGCCCCCAAATACTGAATGGGCTCACTTCCACCTTCCTGAAACTTGTACCCTTTAAGGGAACTAGGGGGGAGAGGTGAACTTGGAAGGACCACCCACATGGCTACAGAAACATTTTTCAGAAAAGCTGCAAAGGAGCAGGGGGCAGGGAGCAAAGGAGCAAAGGAGCAGGAGCAGGGACACCTGCGGTGCTCCCAGTAGCTAACTGGGCTCTTTCCCCACCAGGAAACACACCGCAGAGAAAGCAGCTCCCCCTTTCAATACTATCAGAGGGACAAAAGGAGCATGCTGAGAACATGATTTAAGCCACTGCCCTGCCTTCCCCGCCCAGCCCGTCGTGCAAACCAACACTTTCTTCATAGGTTCTTGAGAAATAGTAACGAACAGGACACACAAATTAAAAGGACACCCTTTTTCACCATTTTAGCATTGTCTCTGACAACTGCCATACATTATGTCCTACTCAACGAGTTGAGAGGAAACATTCTCTGTGGAGAATGTTAAATACCTTGAAACCACAACCTTGGATTTGTTTAATATTTCTTATTATCACTATCAGGTGACCCTGTCGTGCAATGGTTAAGCATGGATTACTAACTAAAAATGTTGACTATTCGAACTCACCAAATCAAAGCTCAACTGGACAAAGGCGTGGCAGTCTGCTTCAGTAAAGATGTGCAGCCTCAGAAACCCTCGGGGGCAGCTCTGTTCTGTCCTGTAAAGCTGTTAGGAGTCGATGCTTAGCAGTGGGTTTGGGATTTGTTACCATGATTCTTTTAGGAGCCCTGGTGGCGTAGTGGTTA